TCTCTCTGTCTCTGTCTCTCTCTCTCTCTCTCTCGTGTGCGTGCGCGCGCGCGCACACACACACGCACACACACACACACACACACACACACGTGTGCGTGCGCGCGCGCGCACACACATGCACACACACACACACACACACACACACATACACACACACACACACACACAGAGTAGTGTATTTGGTGTGTTGTGTAATGAGTAGACAGGTGGAGACGGCAAGGGAAGCCTTCCCAGAATGAGGGTGTGAATGGCAAAAGGATAATAAGCAGCAGCGTGAACCAGGAAGACGGGAAAAGTTCAGTGCAGGTCCTAAAAGCTAAACCAAGAAGGTGGGGTTTGTTCCTCTCAAACGGGAAGTCAGTGAAGACAGGAGATGCCTTATCTTCATTTAGGTGGTCTCTAGTTGAAGAAGTAGCTTGCTGTATATTTGATTCCAGCAGTATCTTTCCGTCTGTGGCCCTGGGAACTCGAGATTTCTGGCCTTGAAATTCAGATTACTGAAGTTTACTCTTTCTGTTTTATTCCCCCACCAGATTGCCACAGCAGTGAAGTTCCTACAGAATTCTCGGGTCCGGCAGAGCCCACTTGCAACCAGGAGAGCATTTCTTAAGAAGAAAGGTACAGGTTTCCTTGGCAGTGTAGAGCGGCAGTGGCCTGTAGATAGGGCTGGGGTGTGGCAGCTGCGAATCACAGCTGGAGACAGGCGCCGAGCACATCAAGGGTCGCCCACGGCTGTCCACGTGTGCGGGTGGGACACAGGGATGAGGTGACCACCCTCAATGGGATGCACATTTCTTTACTCACAGTGGAGCAGAGAAATTACAGGATTTGAACAAGTAAGCAGCAGATATGAGACCAAGAGCATCATGGTACAGTCAGCTCTCAGTAGCAGAATTGGCCCATTGAATAAGCCTGGAGGACTCCTGCTTCTTGGTCAGTCTGCTAGTGACCTGACTACAAAAGACCTTCTTGGGCTAGGAGAGGTCAGCTGCTTTGGTAAAGAACCACAGAGAAGCAAAAGACCAAGGAAATGAGGTGAATAAACAGTTGAGATGAGGCCAAGCTCCGATCAATCTGATTTCCAGATTGAAACGGTAGGTTCCTAATTTTTTTGGTATTTCTGTAGACTGGAATAAAATGGATCCTGACAAGTTCTGTATTGTTGAAGCAGATAGAACCTATTCTCATTCTATTGCAATTTAGGATATTTTTGGGGTTTTTTTGTAAAGCAAAAACAACCATCTAACCAAAAAAGAAGGCAGACTTTTTATTCTTAGGACTTTTACTTTTCTAGAGATCTAGGAGGCTACTTAAAGAGCTTTACATAACACTGAGGGTGTGTGTGTGTGGGTCTTTACCCCCAAACTAGCTTTTCTTTTTTTTTTTTTTTTTTTTTTTTTTTTTGTTTTTTTTGGTTTTTCGAGACAGGGTTTCTCTGTGGCTTCTTAAGCTGTCCTGGCACTCACTCTGGAGACCACTGGTCTCGAGCTCACAAAGATCCTCTGCCTCTACCTCCCCAGTGCTGGGATTAAAGGCGTGCGCACCAACGCCTGGCTAGTTTTTCTTTAAAAGCTAGAATATTGGCCTCAAAATTCTGGTGATCCTGTCATTTTTTTATTGAAATGGATGATAGGATATTTTCAAGGCATTTTTAAGTGCCCCCATGGTATCTCACCGAAGCGCTGCTCTAGGATCAAAACAGTGCTCTACCCACTGACAGGGCCCCACTCACAGGGTTTGGGCACAGTAGGTCCAAACATTTCAGCCATAGCAGCAGACCCAAGGCACGTTTCACACGAAGGAGCTGCATGCTTGCTGGTTGCATGGTGCTAACCCCCATCATTAGGAGATTATTAAAATTTGGAGTGTGTTGGCTGGCCTCTCCACTCCGCAAGCATCATGCCATAAAAGAGATTTTCCTTGAAATATGTGTACCTATAGGGAGTAATTAATCATAAAAGCTTGGGGATTTCAGCTCTCTCATCAAAGCATTGAAGCAGGGGAAAGCTGAGCCTAAAAGCTGAGCTGATTACCCGGGGTAACCTGAGACAAAATCTATGGTTGCCGAGAGATCCTTAGCCCAGTACATTGTGCAGTATTATAACTGTCTGATCTTCTCCTCCACCGACAATGACCAGTTAGTCCTCATTTTCTCTCAAACGCAGCTGGGTTAGAATTTCATTTGCAGAAGGTATTTAGAGCAATTTAGAGACAAATGTCTCTGGTGTTTGCTCGGCACTTCCCCACCGCAGGCTTTGCTGAGCAGTTTTAGTATCAGGAGCTCCATCTAATCTGTTTAATTTTAATAAATCCCTGACTGGGAGAGGGAGAGAGCGAGAGCGAGAGGGAGAAACTCTGGACCAAATAATACTTCTTTTGAGTTACTTGGCTCATAACCACTATAGAGGGGGAGCTGATTTATGCAATTATTCTTTGTTGTTCTTTACAAAAAAAGAAAAAAAGAGAAAAGGAAAGAAGGAGCAAGGAAGAAAGAAAGAAACAAAGAAAGAAGGAAAGAAGAAAGGAAGGAAGGAAGGAAGGAAGGAAGGAAGGAAGGAAGGAAGGAAGGGAGAAAGGAAAACATCCAGCTGATTGATTAATCAGTTCACCCAAGAGTGAACATCCACCCTATGTCATACCCTGATCTTTCCACTGGGAATTCACAGAGAACAGAAAAGACAAAGCCCTGTCCTCACAGAACTTCTGTTCTAACAGGGTGGGGGACAGGACATGAACTAATGGTACCTCAGGTGGCAGGTGTCTGGGGAGGAAATAAAACTGCAGTGGAGGTGAGCAGCGCCAGGGCTGGAGGAGAGGTGTGGTGTTAAGCCTGTCTGATGGCTCTCGGCTGTGTATGCACAGGACTGTGAAAGAGATGAATGCTGGTTAGTCTTTAGAAACTTGGGTGTTGGGAACCAGGGGTCTACTCAGCTCTTCTTGTTCTAAAGAGAACCACATTGGTTTACCCTATACTTAAGCCCGGAATCATGGAAGCTAATCTCTCATCTCCATTATCCTCTAAAATGCTCCTTCACTCGGTAATTATCCATTTCCGAGGTAAATCCCAATAGGGTAAGTTCTGGCAGGACTTTTTCTGGGCAAAGAATTCAACGGTTTGATCGGTATCTGGGGAAGAAAAGCCCCTTCGTGGATTTAAACTTTACTTTTTAAATTCCCAATTATTCTTTGGGTCAGGCTTGTACAACTAGCACACTTGGCAATGTCCATAGTGAGGGCCAGCATGGAGCATCTACCCTGTCCCTCACGGTGGCCATGGAAGGAAGAGGGTTGGCGTGCTGGAGGGGAGGGATTGAGGCCGTGGCACCTTGCTATAGGTCTTCCCTGCAGGGCCATGGTGGTGGGGGTTTGGGGCACACACTGGCTTTGGGAGAGCTCTCAGCTACTGTAGCCTTGGCTTTTCCTAGCAATGTCACTTGAGGGAATTGCTGTAGGGCACTGACTTGAATTATAATCTGACTTTCTTTCTTTTTTTTTTTTCTTAATAAATATTTCTTTCCCAAAAAAACAAATCCAATTTTGTTTTTTTTTTTAATATTATTTAATATTTAATATAGAAATTGAGGTCCCTGTAGTACATGTCAGATCAGTGGGAAGTGCGGGTTCTGCCGAGTTTGTTTTATTGTGAATCCACAGTCCCAGGCAGGGGCTACATTGTGCCTCTGTTCCTGACAGGTTAAGTGTTGAGCTCTCTGATGGGGGCTGGGGAGTGGGCTGAAGTGGGAGAGCCTTGGTCTGCAAGGGTCTGTCTTCCTTGGTTTGTTGTTGTTTGTTTTGTCATCTCCTTTAGATGCTTTAAAGTCAGAATATGGAGTCATTAATGAGAAACACGAAGTTATTAGAATCATTTATCATTTTCTTTGAAGTTTGTATTGCCATTTTATGTAATTTACAGCAATTCTTCCTATTATCAGGATTTTTTTTTCTTGATGCAAGAGAAAGGCAGCTGTTTACCTTCAGAATATTAGAATGGATGTTTTTGTATTGTGTCCAACTTTTTGATTCTACAGATGACACAGCCACGGTAGAGTCAGCCCCGCAGACAGTGGTCGCACTCTGTGGGTTTAAGCCCTCATAGAGATGGTCTATATATAGCCTCGTTTCTTGCCAAGCAGGCAGTAGGCTGCCTCTCAGCAGACTGCAGCCCAGGGGGCAGAGTAGCCTAAAAACAGCAGTAGCAGCCTTCCAGAGAGTTAGAGACTTGGAGAACAATTGTCCACGACTGTTGATTTGATACCACAAAATGCAGGATAGGAGGCAAGCCACTTCCCAGCATGCTCTGCAGGCCGAGTACAGGTTGGGCACATGAGAGGCCTGTGTCTGGGAGGCTGAAGGAAGATGAGGTGGAGGAGGGGCTGGAGCTGTCAGCCGACTGCCCCCATACAGCTCTCAAAAGTAGGGGCAGGCTTTTCTGCTAACCCTTTGGAGTAGGAGGGTGGCATCTTCTCAAGTGCGTAAGCCAAGGGCTTCTTCCTCCTCTGCCCATGACTTTCTTCTCCCAAAAAGGGGACAGAGTGCCCCCTTCTGTTTCTGAAGCCACCTCCTTGTGGAAATGAACTTGGGGAAGAAAGAATCCTGGTGGGCTTAACCTTGGTGGTGGGGTCGAGGTGAAGGGCTTCTCTCATTGGAGTCCTTCAAGGGGGGGTAAATTCTTGCACAGATTTCAATTTAACTCTCTTTTATTACTTTTCTTTTTTATCATTTACGTCCATTTCATGAGGTAGTTTGCATGTCCTTGAATGGAATCTCGTTACCATGAAAGCTTTTTTAGCATTGATTTCATAACAGTCTTAATTTAATAGCTCCGTCATTACTGAGAAGCTCTGGGAGTGGGCCTGGCTTTCCAGGTCACTGACCTTTTAATTACAAACCTTGTTCTGATGGCCAGGTTATCGACTGGACAGCTCCCAGCTTGTGCCCCGGGATGAAAACGAAAATAACTGTTTCCTCCCCCATCTCTAGGAAAAAAAGTAACCTCTTGTGTTTCTAAAATTAATTTTCTTCCTCAGCTTTACTTTATAATTAATTCTTTAATGTGTCTTAGAGACAGCAGAAGTCTTTTTATAGAGCTTTTGTTCCTGGAGCTGGGGTCCGGCAGATAGCTTAGGGGCAGGGGGGCGGACATCTTGCCAACACTACCCCTTGCTTGACTGAAGCTGAGCTGGAAGGAGTATGTTGGCCCTCTGAGGGGCCGTCTGGCCCTTCTGCGTCTTTGTTCATGAGACATGGATTATGGCGTCAAGATTTAGACACATTCCAGTGTTTGCTGGAGTTGTTGAACCTGGTATATCACAAGACATTTTTAAAGTTGTCCCTACTGAGTCACTTATACCTACCTACCTACCTACCTACCTACCTACCTACCTTCCTTCCTTCCTTCCTTTCTTCCTTCCTTCCTTCCTCATTGTTTTTGTACTGGGGACCAGAGGGGGCCTTGGGCATCCTATGCAAATTTGCAGACCCCGTGGGTGTTTTTTCTTATTGCTGTTACCTGTTACCCTTAGATGACTGGGGGAAGAAGTGCCCCTAACTGATGAGCTCCACTGTCACAGACTCGATATGAGCAGGTTGGTCTAGGTTCTCTGTCACATATTGATGATGATGGGAAAAACAGGACAGCGGACAGTGGAGCAACAGTCCCAGTTTGCCCTGCCGCTCTGGTTCCCACCAGATTGCCTGTGTAGTGATAGCCCCTCCACCCTGGGCAAATGGTGAAAGCTTTCCTTGGGAGTGTGAGGCAGTGAGAAAGACAGAGAGATGGAGGAAGCAGGCAAAGTGAGAGGCAGCCTCTCACCATTGGCCCACAAGTCAGCTTGAGGTGTGTGTGTGTGTCTGTGTGTGTCTGTGTGTGT